CATTTTTCAATCATTTTTCCCTTTGGTCCCAAAACGAGCACGATTGCCGACGCGTCCAATGACGGCCGGCAAGGGGGCGGGATTGGGGAAATCCCCAAGAACACCCATGTTTGAGGGACTTTCCACCCTGTTTTTGAGTTTCTGAGGTAAGTTCGTTTATTATTTCCACTGCATATGTTCTTCACTAGGGCTCGTGTATCCCTCAGTAGTAGTGGCATTGAAATTTTCGGACCCTCCCTGAACTGTTGCTTTAAACAAAGCCTTCCTCTGTTCTACCCTGAATTAAAGAAGGGGCGGACCGGACGAGTTGGGCGAACTTGCTTACCAAGGAACCGTTATTACTGAGAACTGCAACTGATTTCCATTGTTAGGAAGAAACATATAGCTTCCAAACATTGCAGTTTTGAGATAAATACGGCGCAGGTTTGGACAAGAACCATTCAGGATTCCAGCGCAGAGGAAGAGTCAAATTGAACGGTTTGATGGACCAAGTTCAAACAGTTCCTGTCAGACGCACTCTCCAAATCAGCGACTAGACTAGGGGGCTAGCAGGATCGGCGCTTTTCTCGATACCTCCACCGCTTGCCTTGCACTTGCCATGAAAATAGATCGAGACCAACTCCCTCAGCTTATAATCAACCAGTAGTTCGTACAACTTCATTCTGAGCGGTGGTCCATCGCATCAGCTTTCCCCTCCATAGTTAGTCCCTTATGTAGTGTTGAGAAATTGGGCTAGAAACCCGACTCTCCCACCTTTCCGAGCGCCTTTCATGTCTCAATTGCACTTCTGGTCTGTCGAGAAGTAGACGCGGAAGAATGGAATGGACCAAATGCCATCCCAATCTTTACCGCGTCTACTTCTCGACAGACCTCGACCGCCGCCCAGAGTGAGTGGGCATCAGCCATAGCCTCTGCTTTGAGTTGTCTTTGTGGGGGCACTCCTCGTTCAGAAGTGCACTGTAGTACTCTTCCCACCTCCTCCTTGACTTCGGCTGGCTTCCTCAGGATGGCACCGTTGCTGCTCTTTACATTCTTCACCACCCTGATATCTTGAGTAGCCCGATGCCGGGCTTTGGCCAGTCTGAAGACGAACTTTTCTGCGTTTCGCTCTCCAACTTTTCGTACAAGGCGTCCATTCCCGTGTTCAGCCTTGGCGACGGCTGCCTTAGCGAGTTTTTGCACCTCTTATACACAGCGAGATCCTATCTCCTGCCAGCGCGTATGCTCCTTCTTTCGCTTCACGACTCGCTGGACCTCCTCGTTCCAGAACCACGCTGCCTTGTCTCCTCTGAATCCACCTCGCGTCTCGCCCAGTACCTCCTTGGCGCATCTAGGATAACCAGCATTGCCAAGTCTTCTGGACTGGTCCGAGTGGATCTGGGAGGCCACATTCTGGACCCTTCTTCTGGAGGTGTTCCCTCACCGCTCGGCCCAGCTTCTCCCACCAGATTCTCCATTCGGTTCTTACCAAAACCTTCCTTAGAAGGCTTGTGGTAATGTCCGCCAAGAGAGAACTGTTTTGGGGAGCTAACCTTCGCCGGGGAGTACCTCGGTGTCCTTCACAGTTTTGAGGGATGATCTTCTTACCAGCACATGGTCGATTTCCGTCTGTCTCCCTCCACTGCTGTAGGACCAGTCTCCCTTTTCGCGAAGAACGTGCTGCAGACTGCCAGATCGTGGGCTGTAGCCAGGTCCAGAACCCTCTCTCCCTCAGCGTTCCTCGTTCCTATCCCCATACCTCCGTGTACCCATTCCACCTCCTCTGTCAATGATTGTTCGTGGTGTTGTTCACAGCGGAGACATAGTCCTTGAGCGACTCCGCTACCGCTATGGCCACGCCGTTCCGCTTGGTGTCTTCTCCATTGTAGTAGAGTTTGACACCTTCCCCGATTTCCCTGGCCTTAGCACCTTTCCATCGCGTCTCCTGAAGGCATAGGACTTGGATATTCCTGCGCGTCATCAGATCAGCAACCTCTCGGGACTTCCCAGTTAGCGATCCTACGTTTAGAGTCCTTAATTCGAACTAGCTTCTTTGGCCGAGGTCGTTCACTCCTCGGAAGCCCACTCGCGCGCTCCGAGGGTCAAATATTGGATCTTTGACGTCGAGACCAACAGCCTTCTACCAATGCGTAGTTAGCACTGTGTTGTACACTGGCTGGCCCTCGCGTCTCACTGTGTAAGCTAAACCT